GAGAAATTGTATTTCATTCATTTACTACATCTTCGGCATCAGTTACTATCATCACTATTTGATTTAACAACATAACGATGTCTTCATCAGTCAAATACTGGAAGCCAGGCTCACATGCATCACTTTGAAACCAATCTTCTAAATTTTCTTCATAAAGAATTTTGAAACCTTAGATTTCTTTTGCTTGTTCGAGAATACTGTTATCATATTTTTCTTGAACATCTGAAGAGGATTGTTCATCAAGCGGTATCATCTTTCTCCACGATCGTGATAACGTAGACGATTTTCCATATCATCCATAACGTAGACGATTTGTTCCATATACTGCAATCCAATAACGAATATTGCTTTCCAAAAATTTGGTAGTGTTATAACTTCAAGAATTAATTTTTTTTTAATCTTAAAAATGTTTCTCTTCATATTTTTTGTGTGACTCCGGAATGAGCACGGATAATCCGCAAACCGGATAATCCGCGCAGGGATAATCGAGAGTGTACTGTATTTTTAAAATGTCAGATGTAAAAGAAAAATCAATACTTCTGAAAATAATTCCCCCTCCCCACAATAATTGTTATTGCTTTTTGTTAAAATAGTAAATGTATGTAGACTGAATTAATTACATAAAAATTAGATAATGTAAACATGTTACTTCAGTTAAATTTTCATGAAATGACTGAATTCTGAAAAAGTTTAAAACAATGAATACTGTAAGTAAGGCTATACGCTTGAACTAAGTGTATATTTGTTATCAGTGAACAATCCCTAAGTATGAATTATAGGATTTCGTTTGGAGGAAATATTAGGATCTTGGAATTTTCTGTGCATTTCTTGACGACTCTTGATTTCCGAAAATAGTTTTCCTTTGCTAGTTGCATGTTTGAAAGGAAGTTGCCTGAATTACCAAGATTTTTAAAGAAATTGACATGTTAGATGTGAGTGTATAGATAGGTATATATGTCCATAAAATGGAGAAAAAAACTTTGCACTTAAAGAATCCAAAATAAACTTGTGAAAATGTTACTATGAACAACAATGTTTGGGGTGAATGAGTAGTATCATAAACAGAATCTTGGAGGTTGGGCAGCTAAATGGAGCATGGCACATCGACCAGAGGTCTATTTTATATTATTTTATAACCCTCGAACAGCCAACACAATTTTTAAGTTTATGACTACTAATGTTCAACTCCATAGCTTTGTCATTTTGAACCCAGTCCAGGAGACAAGGAAACTCCTGGATTAAGTACTGGGAGAAATTTGCCTTCGTGGAGGAATTTTTGAAAAGAAGTAACATACATGGAAAGAAAAGCCACGATAACCTTTCACGGTTAGCCTGGCGGCATTAAATTTTATTTGTAAAAGATATGCAATTAAGTGGAGATAACTGTAGCAGAAGACAAAACAGGCTAGTTTCAGCAAAATGGTTGAATCAAATTAAGAAGAAAAGTTAATGACAGTGTTTAAAGTAAATACATGTTACACAACCTCTAAAATATCAGTACAGTCATTATTTCTACTAAACAGGTCAACCACAAACACAATTCCCTGATTTTTTTCCAGATCGTTTTTATCAAATTTGGGATGTGAAGGTTTGACAGAAGTTTAAGTGACCATAATTTTCTTACTTTCGTAACTGATGAAAAACAAGCTGCCAATCAGTTTTTGAGTTCAAAGGTTTCAACTTGTTGTTCTCCATAAGTACTTTAATTTGCTCTCGGGAAAAATGAAATTTGCATAGTTCTCTCCAAATGTGCTGCTCGTCAAGGAGAAATTTCATGTCATCGCATGCCTGGGAGGAATTCATCAGGTCTTTATAGTCACTTAACCTAAGCAAAATTTCTCTTAATATTGCTGCCGGCATATCGGTCAATCTATAAGAACCATCATCCATTGGCTGGAGAATAAAAAAAGCATAATTTGGATGTCAAATTAAAATACAAGATTTAATATTCAGTAATATACTCATTAAAGATTTATTCAAAATATTTGCATAAAGGGTGAAATAATTAATATTATAATTAATAATATTACAATTAAATGATGAAAGAATAAAAAGATTACGAAAATATTGTTAACAATTTACAATTAAAAAAAAATCAAAACTTTTAAGTTTGCTTCTACTATTTCTGAAGGAGATAGTGCTCATTTGATATTTCTTTTTATGTTGTACAACAGCGTGACCTACACATGGTATGATTTATGCTTTTTTCTTACTAATTTCCAGCATACATGTTTTGTATCACTAATATATTATGCATAGACGCTTTATAAAAATTAAGCCTTGTCATTTTTTGGCCAAAACTATTACTTACATGAAACTGACATGCATTGCAATTGCAACTTTTCGTGTTAAAACATCAAGAGTTCAGTACTCTAAATGTTCAGTGCTTCAGAGAAAACTAAACAAGCCATTTAACTTCTTGCCCTTAGTACAGCTCCTTTAGAGTATTTTGATCTTTTTACTAATTGTACTGTTAGAATTAGTAAAATATTTTTTAACGAACATATCACAATCAATTTGAGAAAAGATAATGTTTGAAAGTTTAAACATTCACTATTGTTTCATATAGATCTAATAAGTTATGCGCAATAATGATTTAAATATTTTTATTTACAGCTTAAATATTTTGCAGTAGGCAAAGTTTCTTCAATTCGAAATATCTTATGTATTACGAAGATAATTAATTAATATTTTTTATAGGAATAGTGGTAAAAAATTTGACATGTACAAGTAAAACATTATGCAAAATAAAGTTTTTATATTGTTTAAACGATTGAGAAATACTAAATTTTAAAAATATATCTTGTAATAGTTTTGAAAAACATATGCAAATGATATATTAAGATATAAAAAGAAAATTAACAAGCTCTATTTAACAGTCATGTCTATAGTTTAGGCTAAATAAAACTAGCGCTCTGAGAAACATACATGATATGCCAACCCATAAATTGTAACTTTACGAACCAACAGTAAACAAAACCAGACTACTAGTATATTTTTGTACTATATATATATATTTTTTTTTTGTATCTATCGCTAATAAAAAAAAAATTCTACAGATTTACTTTTTTGGTTCATACCACACATGCAAATGTGGTTGCTTTTCGCAACAGCAGATAAAATTTCTAAAAACATTTCTCAAGGAAAATTCAAAGAAAAAATATATTTATAGAATATATACGACATTTCTACAAGTAATATGCCCTTAAAAAATCACTTAAGATCAATAGAATCTATTATATTCTAATACACAAGATATTGACATTTGTTACTTTGAAACTGTCTGATTTTTCAACTTAGAATGTCATCTGTTCTAAAGAAAGAACATATTTATGAGGAGGCCTTCATAACCATCAAGACTGAATCTCCGTATGTGATCATTAAAGTACTTTTAAGACAATTCTATTTTACAACATGTTTTATTACCTGCTTGATTTCTATATCACTAGCGAATTGACAAATTCTGTCAATAGTCTTCAGATGTTGTTCCCATAGGAGAGTGCTGCCAAGAGGTCTCCCCCAGCAATAATACTTTCTAATGATCCTCCGCAAGTCGTAGAGAAGCATGTGGAGTATGTGCAAGTTCTGTTGGTTGCTTGCCACTGAAAAAGACACTCTCTATTCAAATGTTTTAAAATATTAATGATCAAGAATGCAATTTTGAAAGATTAATTAAGATTTGTTATTAATTAACACACCTTTCCAAAAGTTTAGGTACGAGTGAGTGACAAAATTATGGAATGATTCATGTGGGAAGAGATTTCTTTAACAATTCCCATGTATCAAAATTCTAATGTATTTGTTACAGTGAATGACCGAAATGGGAGGTTGTTGAATTCCGGTGAATGCTGACAATCACATTTGGTAAATGTCCGAAAGATATACTAGGTCTAGTGAAGTGCCACTGCCCGGTATGCCTTACATCAATGTTTTTTTATGGTCAAGTGCCCAGTATGCATTTAACCAGTATTCCGAACGCTGATGTTTCTCCTAATCTATCCTCAGCAGCTATTAAAATACCGAATAAATATAATAATATTAACAAATAAATTAATATCCAATCGGATATAACAAATATTTCAGACATTTACCAAAGCGACTATGTGATTGTTGACATTCACCTGTAAAAGTCAACATTCTCTTGATTTTGGTCTCTCATGCTGACATATACATTAAATGTATTTTTCCTTCCCAAATATTTTTGAATATGATTCTGTAAAGTCAGTATGTTAAACTAAATTTTGTCACATATTCATATTATTTTTATTATTGAATTAACTTTTCTTTAGCTGTAGATAGATTATTTTAATATGATTTTTTTTCTTCAAAAATATAATTTAATGCAAGCAAAAAAAAGTTTGTAAAAAGAGGCTATTAAATTAAAAGGACCCATTGATATCGGTAATCGACTAATTGGTGATAAAGAAAAAAGGGTCATAGAAAAAGAGAAGTTTTTTTAATGATACAGCTATAAAGATTTTGGTCTTTTGAAAGTTCAACAACACACATAATTTTTAAAAAAACATTTTTTTTTGTGAAACTCTTAAGAAATTAAGATATTTTTTCAATAAATTTATTTAAACTTTTGCCTGGAATTTGTAACAAATTAAACTTAACATGAATGCCAAATTTTAATTTATTAATTTTTCATGAATCAAAAAACTTTCAACTGGGTTTGATTATAAAAAATTTATAAGTTATGAAAGTTTTTATTCTTGGTGATATATTTTATAAAGTCTGACCGTACTGTCATGATTTCAGCAGGCTTTAAAATAATGGAAATTTTAGTCTCTTTACTTGCTATTAATCAATTTAGTTTATTTTAAATACTTAACAATGCATTTAAAAATTTTATGATCACAATAAAAATTCTCAATTCCTACATCAGAAAATGTTTACTTGAAGTATTTTAAAATTGCTGAAAAACATTAATAAAAATGAGATTTTAGGGATTGTAAATTGGGTCTGAGAACAAATTGATATCAAATTTCAAGTTATGGCTGCAAAACATAGCGTTTTACAGTTGGACGTAGACCCATGGACAGTGTTTACAGTCAATGGGATAACTGGAAGTGATGTATTGTGGGTATCTTGATCCTGATTAGTTGTTGAAGTGTGGCATTTGTTTACGTTAGCAACTGCTTTTTCCATTCTATTTCGAATAAGCCAGGCCCGTCAAGTATCATTTCTCTTAAGTGACACATTCTACATTCTTTCACAAAGATTTCAATTCCTTCACTATATATTTCTTCCTTAACACAAATACAGACAGAAAGCCTTATAGAACACAAACTAATTATGCATCGAAGTTGCCATGTACGCAAAACAAAAAATATCAAGTTTACAATAAAACTCATAAATAAAAAATCTAAGTTAAGTAAAAGACGCAAAGAGAAAGAATTATATATAAGAAAGAATAGTGCAGCATTTAATTAATTAGCATAGCTGCGTTAATTAACGTTTTAAATTGTGTGGAGAAACTTAGCTCGACTTTAACACTCCTTTTCGCTTATAAACAATCAGTTGACGCTAACATCAAAAAAAATTTTGAATTGTAAGGTATAAAATTTTTTACACCATTTTAACAAAGGTAATTTTACATGGCAAAATCTAAAATTCCAAATCGGTTGAGTAGCTCCTGAGAAATTGAATTTTATAAATACGTTTTTTTTAAAATTCAATTTTTCAGAAACTATTTTATCGATTTGGTTCAAATTTTGTACGTTACAATGTTAATTTGCATACATTAAATGATGTAAGAAGTTGTATACATTACAATTAAAAAATTTTTTCAAGCATTCATGAATAAAATAATAATAAATATTTCATAATACTAGCGCTGACATAATAGGTCGCATGTGTGGGTATCAGTGATCTTCTTCGTGATGTTACTCAATTGCCCGTATAGTATTGAAATAATACATCCTTAAGCAAGAAATAAACCCAACATAATGGGTAATGGCTTATAATGGTTATAATCCCATTGCTATCAAGATAACCAGAAACTTTTTTTTAAAAAGGTGGGATTTCTTTAATGCAATACAAATTAAGTTAATTGCATTAAAAAAAATTTCTTTTGCTTTCATGCTTGACTGAAAAAGTTCTTTGTCTCTAAGTGAAAAGATGAAATATCTCTTTTTCTAAATTTATTTTTTTATTTTAAAATTATATTTTTTGTGCTTGATTTTTATCATGATAGAAAGTTTTAAATAAACACATCTTTTTTTTAAAAAAACTATTAATTCTACTACATTTTAGCTGTATTATCTTTATTCTCTTAGTTTAAATAAACAGATACTGAAGTTTGTTCTAGTTTGGGCATACATTTTTTTTTATTGCAATAAGTATCTAAATAACAGTGACTTTACTAAAAGACAATTTCTATTTAAAATAACCCAAGCAGCAAAATAATTTTCATCTTCATTGATTCAATATTCACTAATCTTGGCTCAATAAGGGTTCACAGCGCTATTATTTCTCCGATATTAGCCCTATATAGAAACGTCCGATTCACCCGATATTTTACAACCAATATAGGCCCTATATAGAATTGTCACCCAATAGTTTATTTTTATAGTCATTATTCAGCTAATCTATATATATAGGCTTTATATTGACTCTATATAGGCTGATATTATCCAGAACCCATATTGAGCCAATTATTAGCCCCACTGGGGCCAAGGTGAAATTGTTACTAGGGATCATACACTATAACACTGTGGATAAATTGATAAAATTAGTTTTCTCATTTAAAATAAATCTTTTTAAAAATCTGAATGTGAACTAAAAGCAAAACTACAATAAAATGCAATACATATTAAAATGGAGTATCTATTATTTAATTTTTCTATTCATAGAACAAAACTATTCATTAAAATACCTTGTCGAGCGACTTCTTCTAGGACTACAAAGAGTATTTGTGTTGCACGACCACTCAAAGTTGTGAGATTTTGGGTAATCAGCAAATGTAAAAGCTGAAAAAAGGAAAACAATTTACAGAAATGATATAAAGTAAATAAAATGTTAACTTTAACATTATATCATAAAAGTTATCTTTGTGCTGGAATAAAATGTAATGAACAATATATGAAACTATTTCATTCGGGCATAAGAAGATTAATTCTGTAAGGGTGAGTTTAATTTTTTTTAAATAAATGTGAAGAAAAATAAGTTAAAATTGCTGAAAATTTTTTAATGAGATTTTCAGATCATGGAATGTAAAAACCAATTCTGAAACACACTAAAAAAATATATTCATTAACATTATTTTAATATTCCACTTCAAAACGGACCAAATAACCATTTCAAAATCGTAAATTTAGCTTGTATAAGAAAAATTGGATTTTTTTCAAAAACTAAATAATTGTTAATGATTTTAATTAGATACAAACAAAACTGCATTATTTAAAAGAATATCTTTTTTACTTTTAAAACAAGGATAAAACCTTTTATTTAAACTAAAAAATTTAGCCTAATGACTTTTACCAACAAACCAAAAATATTTTTAGAAGTTAAATATTGATAACTTGTTTCTTTTTTTAATTTTAAATATTGTCTTTCTATTAAAAAATCACAAGTACTGTCGCTGTTCAACTTTTGTTACATTTCGTTTTGCAACAAAAACTATGAAACTTGAAAATTTGAAATTACAAAGGTGTATAAAAATGTTGACAGGGAGTACAATGGCATTAGTTCAGGAATTATTTAAAATTGTTTTACAATAGTTAGGCTTACCTTGCATATGTAGTTAAACCTTCTAATATCATGCACTGCATTTCTAAAGTCTAACTTCTGAATAGCTTCACCAATATTATTGAAACTAGTGACCTAAATGAAGATGACAAATAATTGTGTTAATCAGTTAACAATAATATGCAAAAACAGCTATTATAAAATCTAAAAGGCAAATAAATTTAGAAATTGCATATGAAAGATTCAAATTCATAGCAGCATTGTATATTTCATCATTAATTTGTGCACACTATCGTTCCTACAGTTAGACAAAACTAGGTGCTCTTTATGCCCCGAAACACCCATTTATCTAGAATTAGAATAGAGAAAAGCCCAGTGGCTGAGTGGTAGCTCTTCACTCTCTCAGTCTTGGGTTCGGGAAAGGTTGATTCAGCCTTTCATTCTTTCAGTGGGTCAATAAAATGAGTACCAAGCATGCTTGGAGACTAAAAACAGGGGATTTCGCGTTTGGCTGACCACCCAACCAGAACGCCTGCACCCCAGAGTGAAGGTCAGGAAAACTGAAATGGACATAGTAGGCCCTCTTTGAGCTGCCCCGCCACTGAGTTTAGTTTAGAAACGGCCCTTATTACCACAGACTACACAGGGGTGGGAAAATTGTATAAGAAAAAAGTGTGAACATTTGAGAAATGATGTAAAAATGAAACTGTCAAATAATCCAGTGAGGTAATGGCATAAAATGTCACTTTTATGCGAAAAATCCATAAATCTTTTAAAAATTATTTTAAGAGTTATTATAAAATATTTGTTTTCATCAATATCATGTTCAACTTTTATTGAACAGCGACAGTTAGCAGTTTCTTGCTTAAAGTAAATTATTATATCAACTACGATACTAATACAGAATGTTATTCTGTACATAAAATCCATAAATATTTTTTATAATTAATTTAAGAATTGTTACAAAATGTCAAGTCAAGAGCCGCGATGGCTCAGGGAATAGAGCGTTCGTCTTCCAATGAGATGACCCGGGTTCAAATCCCGGCGATTGCTGGTTGGTACGAATCCGCATCCGGTTTGCATCGACCACAGTGCTGACGTGAAATATCCTCAGTGGTAGACGGATCATGGGTTAGAGTCCCTGCACCGTCAGGCTAACCATGGGAGGTTCTCGTGGTCTTCCTCTTCAAGTAACGCAAATGCGGGTCAGTTCTATCAAAATGACCTACACGAAGGCAAAATTTTTCCCCAATGCTTGATCCAGGAGTTCCTTTGTCTTCTGGATTGGGTTCAAAATTACAAGGCTACGGAGTTGAATATTAGTAGTCGTAAACCCCATGAGTTCCTTTTCAAAGCGAATTTGAATGAATACATAAGATCAATGTATTAAAATGTCCAGTGCGCAAAAAAGTTAATTAAAGAAATGGAACACCTAGAATAACTTTTGATCTAACGATTGTATCATGATGTACTAGGGACTCAATCCTAATGGTTTAAAGGGATGATCTAAAATATGTTAATTTTCATTACAATATCAGATGCAAACTTTGGACTGCTCTCCTAACTAAGCAATTGCGCTCATATTTTCCAAATTGTGACTGCAAACTATATTTTGAGGGTCAGGAATCCAAATCTGTCGAAAAAAAAGTATGTTTATCCAGAAAAAGTATCCATCGCGGCTCTGCACCAATCATTTAGCATATTTGAGGTCACCCTTTCAAACCATCAAAATCGAATTCCTAGGACATGCAGATCTGATCGTTAGATCAAAAATGGTTTACATTGTGCAAATTGCAATGGTTTACATTGCAATTACTGTGCATAAATTTGAAATGGTTTACTTGATAAAGTTTTGAGCTCTTAAAACAATAGATGGTTTTTAATAATAAATGGTAATTTTATGATTCACAGATGACTATGATAATTTAACAATTCAATCTAATCTCTTTTCTTTCTATTTTTTAATAAAAATGTAATATTTTCTGGAAATTGTCATGAATTGTCATATTTTCATGAAATCAAAATGTAATCCTGTTACTTGGTAGTATGATAGTTCTGATGCTGCAAAGTAACAGAATGCCAAACCTCTACTACATAATTTATCAACTTTATCCAAATTCACAGACTTGGTCCATAGTTTGCATTTTCAACTCCACTTAATAATCAGGTAAAAAATAAATAATTTTTTCACAATATAATTTAAAATAATCCATAAAAAATGATAATCAAAAAAATATTTCAAACACAAGTAATTTGCAAAATTGAATAAATAAAGTAATTATAACAAAGACAAAGAAATGCTTACTTCTTTGGTATTTTTTAAAGTTATTTGACAGTAAGGTTGATTTTCTTTCAAAGCTAAAACGAAAGAAGAAAAGATATACATTTTGAAGTAGTTATGTTTTTTCATTATAAAATCCTAGAACAATTTAAAAATAATTGAAAATGTACAATTGAAATGTTAAATATTAAATAAATCAAAATACATTTTGAATAAAGACAAAACGACGCTAATGTGTCTTTTCTTCCGTTGAATTTCGAAAAATAAGAAGGAAAAAAATGCAAGAAAAATAAGATAGTTAAAACGAACGCTATTTCGACAACCTTTTATGCAAAGAATAAAAATCTGTGTAAAAATTTCCGCTTTTATTTGTATGTTCTATAAAAATATCAAAACACAAATGACTAATTTCTTATTTATTGCACAAAAAAGAATTTCTGGGAGATGAAATGCTTTGTCCAGTGCGCATTATTTTAATTCGTGTCGGGCGAGCTATGCTGTCCTTAGTAAACATAAAAAAATCCCGGGGACACATAAAAAACAAAACTATGGAAGACGAGATATTTCGCTTTTTAAGTGCAATTTTACTGCAGGAAGACAAGAAATTCATCTCTTAAAAAAAAAAAACTTTTCAAATTAACACATTTAGACAAATTTATAGAATTTCGAGTTGGTTCCTTTCTATGATTTTTTGTTTGTTTTTGAGGTTCTCGCGGGCAGCTGACCGGAAGTTGCAAAGACTTGGCGATTATTCTGCCACTGATCACGATGCGGAAATCTCCCCATAAGTCCGAGCCCGACCAAAACCTTTTTTATATAAACGAGTGCGGGCTCGTGTTAAGCCCATCTCATCTCTAATAGATCATGAAAGTAAAGAGAATGATACTTAGCAACTTCCTCTGATGTATTTGATCAACACCTTCTAGAAAAGAGGCATCAGCACGAGTAAACAAGAAACTTGATCTTTTAGTAGTCCAAACGCAATGACAGCTTTCGTATTTGCCACCAGTGCGCAGCTTAGTAGACCGCACGTAGTGACATCTTTCTTATTTTTCATCCACTGCGCAGTTTACGTTCGTTACGTCGGACTGCTAAATTGATTTGTGCTGAGGCCTTCTTTCTAGGAGGTGTTGGTTAAGTCACTAATAGGTGCAAATAATGATCATGAAGGTAAAGAGAATGGTTGTGGCTTTCTCGTCTCAGGGATGGCTACGAACGTCCTGTGATGTTTTTTGGTTACTGACACGAAAACATTCTCTTAATTACTACTAGATTCTGAAATAATTTTTTACCTGAGTTATTGATAAATTCTATATCTGCACTCCCAAAAGGGAAATCCGAATTGCTCTCATAGGAACTGTTTTCTCTTTTTTTCTCCAGGAATACACTTCTATTTCGAGAATACCTAAAAATAAAAATATTTATTAATCCTTTTTATCTCCGAATTGAAACAATAGAATGCATAATTTTAAGCACATCATAAAAAAGGATTTATATTATAAAATAAATAAAAAAATTATGGAAAAAGAAAAATGGTTTGTTGTATTTCTGTTACCGTGAATGACCGAAATCACGAAAATGTCAACAATCACTGAGCCGCTTTGGAGAATGTTCGAAATATTTGTTACATCTGATTTGAAATTAATTTATTCATAGATATTACTACATTTATACGATATTTGCCTGGTCAGTAGGGCGCTGGGCCCATGTTCGAGAGTTCGAACCCCGCTGGCCGAAGACTCCCCGTGTAGTCAAGTGACGGATGCACGTTAAATCTGTCGAGTCGCTAAAGTCCTCCCATAAAAAATCAATACTTCTGGGGGTACTGGATTGGAGATCGATCTTTCTCTGATTCTGGTCAAAATTACGATCTGTGGATGAATGAATGTATGAATGGGTCCACCCTATAAACGGGTGTGACGTATGGTGCGGCGGAAGTCGAATTCTTGGCCATAGATGGCGCCACTGGAAAACAAGAATAATTGCACCCCCTCTGCTTAAACAGGCATACGTCAACAGCAACATTCGTTATTTTAATATCTACTGAGGATAGATAAACGTCAGTGTTCGGAGTACCAATTAAATGCGTACTGGACAGTGGCACTTAATCTTAAAAAACATTGATGTAGGTCATACTGGGAAAATGTATACCTGGCGGTGGCACTGAACTTACAATGATGTGGGGTACACCGTTCAGTGGCATTTTGATATATATTTCGGACATGCAGATGCGATCGGACTATACCTAGTATATATTTCCAACATTTACCAAAGAGACTTGTCAACATTCACCGGTGGAAAGTCAATAACCACTCATTTCGATCATTCGTGGTCTACAGCAAAATGACAAAACTTTTCTCTCAGCATCGTGAAAAAATGACACAGTGACTCAACAATTTCAGTTCAATTTATTTATTTCAATTCAAAATTTTGAATTTCAGTAATATCCCTTAAACAAACGGGTGAAGTAACAAATTGAACTTCGGTGCTAAAAATACATCAGCATCGCCCTGTAGTAAAAAGTTGAACAATATGTGTTAAAGAGAAATGTTATAGGATTGCAATAGTTGCGGAAATCTTTCTTTAAAACTCTCTTATAAAAATAATACGCTTTTTTTTGTGTTAGTTGCAACAACACGGCGACTTAGAGTTAATGAACTAATTTTTGAAATAGGTTGTTGTTGATAATTTTACGTCGCACTATAGCTGCACAATGGGCTATTGGCGACGGACTGGGAAACATCTCGGAGGATGATATGAGGCCGGAAAACGCAATTAATAATATTTTTTGAAAGTAGAAATTTTTTTTAATTGTTTTGGAATTTGCATTTCAGTTTTGAGCGTGATTGCGTATACGCAATCAATACTATAGAATTAATACTGATCCGCTGATTATTTAAAAAAAAATAATCTCGGACGATTGTTGTTGTTATGTTCTTGTTAATTTACGTCGCACTAGAGCTGCACAATGGGCTATTGGCGACGGACTGGGAAACATCTCGGAGGATGATCCGAAGACATGCCATCACAATTTTGATCCTCTGCGGAGGGGATGGCAATCCCACTTCGGTAGCCCGTCGACCTGCGCGCGAAATCGAGCACTTGACGGTAGCACAGTTTAACGAGGACCAATACCGCACATCCTCGGTCCCTTTGCAGACTGATCCAAGTGGTCACCCACCCGCACACTGACCGTAGCCAGTGATGCTTGACTTCGGTGATCTGCTGGGAACCGTGTCTTAACGATCAGTCCACTGCGGGACTTTTGAAATAGGAAAAAGAAGAAGAAAAATATGAGAAAAGTGAACTCCAAAATTACAAATAATTTTAAAAGTTATTTCAATTAACAATGATATGTAAAAAAAGTTTTGTGGTAGACTTCATAAAAATATATTTCAGAACTCAACGTAATGAAAGTTTTATGAAAGATAATAAAAACACTCAGTTCAAAACTTTTTAACACAATAATAAAAATACGAATTGCAATTTTACCTAAGACATTTAATGTCTAAATTTTAATTGGCATCACAAGCATTTTCATTAACTTTGCATCATAGGTTTCATTGGAACTTTCAGTAAAAAAACTGCCATTAATATGTATTTTAAGTTGTTAGTTTTTGAAAATGAAGGGAAAGTAGACACACTTGGGATCCCAAATTAATTTATAAGTGAGGGGAAAAAAACAAAACAGCAATCGAAATCAGAAAAATCAAGGTTGAGGAAGGCGAGTACATGAAAAACCAAAGTCAGTTTGATTGCGGGAAGGAAATGGAGAGAAATAAAAAGACTATTATTAGAGACACCTTGAAGTTCCACTCCGCAATAAAACAGGTTTTGATGTTCGTCTTTCATTATTGTTATCCATCTATTCCCTTATTGTGACTTCCTAATATTTTTATTTTCTTCTAAATTTTTGAAAAAAATATCTAAAAATATACCTTAAGGCTGTGCTAACTTTTTGTGTGTTATTTTTAAACACGATTTGTTCTGCCTNTTTATTTCAATTCAAAATTTTGAATTTCAGTAATATCCCTTAAACAAACGCAACAAATAACGAAGCAACAAATTGAACTTCTGTGCTAAAAATCCATCAGCATCGCCCTGTAGTAAAAAGTTGAACAATATGTGTTAAAGAGAAATGCTATAGGATTGCAATAATTGCCGAAATCTTTCTTTAAAACTCTCTTATAAAAATAATACGCTTTTTTTGTGTTAGTTGCAACAACACGGCGACTTAGAGTTAATGAACTAATTTTTGAAATAGGAAAAAGAAAGAAAAAAATATGAGAAAAGTGAACTCCGAAATTACAAATAATTTTAAAAGTTATTTCAATTAACAATGGTACGTAAAAAAAAGTTTCGTGATAGATTTCATAAAAATATATTTCAGAACTCAATGTAATGAATGTTATTTGAAAGATAATAAAAACACTCAATTCAAAACTTCAGCTTTAACACAATGATAAAAATATGAATTGTAATTTTACCCAAGACATTTATTGTCTAAATTTTAATTGGCATCACAAGCATTTTCATTAACTTTGCATCATAGGTTTAATTGGAACTTTCATTAAAAAAACAGCCATTAATACGTATTTTAAGTTGTTAGTTTTTGAAAATGAAGGGGAAATAGACACACTTGGGATCCCAAATTAATTTATAAGTGAGGGGAAAAAAACAAAACCGCAATCGAAATCTGAAAAATCAAGGTTGAGGAAGGCGAGTACATGAAAAACCAAAGTCAGTTTGATTAAGGGAAGGAAACGGAGAGAAATAAAAGACTACCTATTATTACAGACACCTTGAAGTTCCACTCCGCAATAAAGCAGGTTTTGATGTTCGTCTTTCATTATTGTTATCCATCTATTCCTTTATTGTGACTCCCTAATACTTTTATTTTCTTCTAAATTTTTGAAAAAAATATCTAAAAATATACTTTAAGGCTGTGCTTACTTCTTGTGCGTTATTTTTAAACACGATTTGTTCTGCCATCTCCTTACACAGTTTTTGAGAGATGAAATCATTACTAAATTCGAAAAATAAAAAGTAATGAAAACTCGAAGATACATTTTTGGATAAAAATAAAAATTTACAATTAAAATCCATTAATTCGATAAAAAAATTGCGAATAAAATAGTGAACAAAAGAATTCTAAAAGTGAAATAGAAAAAAAAAATCGAATTTAATTCTACGCTGGAATTAAAAATAATAATAATATTAGGTTGGCAATTTTTTTTTTTTTACTGTGAAACAAAATTTAATATTTTTTACTCGAAAAATGGACTTCCAACAATTGAAAATCTTCCATACTGTTCGGTAACTTTTTGCCATTTTTCTGGTCACTTCATGATTGCACACGTTCATAGAACTTCTCTTAATCAGCAAAAAACTAATGAATTGAGATTTGAGATCATCGTTATGACTGAAATTTTTATATTTAAAAAGTTTTGTTAACTTCGAAATAAATAATAATCCGATGCTAAGTCGGGGCAACATCACTTTCTAGCTAATAATAATGTCTTAAGTGTTGCTGATGATGTGTGAGGCCTCGCACTGTCATATGGATGGAAACGTAAACAATAACAATCTCGAGCTCGGCACCTACTCTAGTTCCGATTAAAAAGTTTGCAGCTGCTTACTACATGTTATTCTGATAGGCGATGTTTTCAAACGGATAATTTAGTTTTCAATAAAAGGACTAAATTAGATAATTTCTGAGCTCAAATCTGCCATATTTCATAAGATATTAATGTTATTATGTAATTCTGGTGAGTTTGAAGTGAAAATTTGTTTTAGTTATTTTGTAATTAATTATTAAAAAAGGTGACACGGTTGCTAGATTTTGAATAACTCGCTTTTTTGGCCGTCTTGATTTGGCCTCTTTCCATTTGTTTATTACTGTATGTTCGTGTTGCAAGCTGTGCACCATCTTACGTTAGTGTTAACACTTTTAGTATTGTAAACACAAGTATTGTTAGCATTGTAAACACAAGTAATAAGTAATCAAATACATTGTTTGCAAGAATCTCAAAACACAATGATGCCAAATGGCTTTAAAATACAACTGAAACAGTAACCCGGAAATTTAGGCAGTCCCGAGCTTGCAGCGTTCCCTAGTGTAGAAAACACCATCCATTGGAACAAGATTCTTTTACTATAATCCAGAGGTCGCCAAAGTGGTCTATATAGACCCCCAGGGGTCTATTTAACAAAATTGGGGGTCGATCTGATCCAGGGGGTCGAATTTTTTTTATAATTGACTTAATATCAGTTTCTTTATCGAACATAAATTAATAAACACATCATCAAAAACGTGGACATCAACCTGCAGGATGAGTTTGCTGAATTATTATCGGATCTTGAAGCAAAGACGCTTTTTAAAAATTTAACAATAAGTAAATTTTG